AACTATGGGGAGGAAGTGGGAGGGGAGTTGTTGCATTGTAAATTTTGGTCAATGACATGAGACAAAGTATATATGAACTGCCGTATGAAAAGTGAATTTACTCTGTAAATCTTCACCCAAATCCTAATAAAAAAAAAAATTTTACTTATGTTAATATTTGTCTTACAAACAAGTATATAGGAACATGCATATAAACTTGAGCTGTCCTATATTTATCCTAAGCATTCCCCATCATACATGTGCCCATTCCCTATGGGTACAACAGGCTCTGATTCTTCAACACAGTCAGTTTTTCTCAATGTTTAAAAGTGGGTGCTGGGTTTGCACTGAATTAAGAACTTTCCCTGGTGAAAAGAAAGCTCCAGTTCTTAGAAAATCCAGAATTTCAAAAGTTTTCTCTGATTTATAGGATACTTGTTCAACCCAAGTTCAAGGTTCTTGAAATGATTTCCACTGTCTACCTCTTCCGATATTAACTCCTCAACCCTTCTCGTTTTCCTTAATCATTAAGGCTCATGTGCCTTTCTTTACTGGTCATTTCAAAGGCATCGAGATGGTCAAATAAGCATACAGTGGGTTTGTTCCTCTAGGGATAGAGTGCTCAGACCATCAGAAGTCTTTGATCCAAGAGTCTCTGTATATAAATGCAACACTCACTCAAACACCTAGCAATATTTAAAATGAATTTGTGTAGGATGAATAATGAAAATGATGTGGATGCACAAACTTTCTACTATCTGCAGCATTACAGTGACCTCCACATACATGATCAAACTGACTCATTATGATGGTCAAATATTTTTTCTGTCAATATAATAGTGACCACAGCTTAATGGATTGACTTTCAGACAATTGATGTACCCCAACGATTTCAAGGATACAAATTATTTGACTTAATCTAATTATTACCAGTTGTTGAGCTAAACTAACTCAACTAGCTGAAGCGTACTAAACAGATTGATAACAATCTATCTCAAACAAGTGATTTGATTCAATTCAGAGGCATGGTCCAAGTTAGGTGTTACATTCAGGCTCATTGCAGTGTTTATTTCTTTATTTTGATTACTTCTCTTTTTTCTTTTTCTTTTCAATGAAGGAGACTATCTGGTACTCCATTAGGAAGTCACTAAATATATGATGAAACCCTTTTCTTCTCTCTTCTTTGAAGGAGAATAATACTACACCCAACTAAGCAGTGAAGCAAAAAGTTGTTGTTGTTGTTGTTGTTATGTGCCGTTGAGTCAGACCCGACCCATAGTGACCCCTCCTTGGGTTTCCAGGGCAGTATCACTACAGAAGTAGATTGCCCCATAGAGCTGCTTTAATTAGTTTATATCGTAACGACTTTATTAAAGGAATCATTGAGCCTTCCACAAAAGTCATTAAATCATCAGTGAGCACCGTCACATTAGATGCTCCACCTTCTGAGCTACTGACCCAGAAGGATGCCCTGTGGCATTCCAAAGGCTCTGTACTTAACCTTGTCCCAGGCAATGGTTTCATCAGTGATGTGGACAAAGATATTTCAAATAAGTATTCATACAAGGTTGGAAGCAACAGCTAATACAAATGTTAGATGACAGATACAATGGGAAGGCTACCTGGTGCCTACTGTTGGGTCCTGTGCTTGGGGTTGCCATGGATTTAACACACATAAATGAAACAGGGGGACCCACATGGGTTGAAATGCCCTGGACAAAGACTTCTGATGGACAAAGGATAGTTCTGATGAAAGGAAGTCCTGATTGGTTAGAAAGATGGGTCAAAAGAGTAGTTCTCAACCCAGAGGCTGTTTGTAAATGCAGCATTCTTGGTAATCATGATGACTGGAGGTGACTACCGATATTTAATAGGAAGGGAGCTGGCTGATACTAAGTACCTTGCAATGCATAGGACATTCCTACACAAGGAAGATTCGTCCCAAATTGCAATAGTGACTCCATTGAGAGACACTGGGATGCAACAACCAAGATAAATAATTTAAAAGAAATAAATATGAAGTTCTGAATTACTGGTTATGATATCAATTGCATAAGAATAGTATAGAAATATGTGGTTCAAATAAAAAACCCGATCACCTTAGCTGACCACAGCCCAACACATGGCAACAGAATGGGGAACCTGCTAAAGGGCTAACCCAATTATAACCACATCACAGTCCAGGTCAAGGGAGACAATAAGCCCACTGATGTGTGCATTAGACTGTTTCTGGGTATCTGGGCACTACAAAATTTTGGGGAAGCACTAGTGAACTGAAGAGTCTAGCAGAAACCATGCCACATAGGAAACAACAAAGGGGACTGGGCCTATTAAAGGGAAAAAGTGGAGAATCTAATATTATTTTCATATATCACAGCTCTTGCAGAAGTGGGAAGGACTGAGAAATGGAGGGGACATGGGAGGAGACATTTCTGACCATCACTGTTGGCCAACTGCTCTACTGCAGGACTGATACCATCACCTTCAGGCAGGGACTGAATGGCCTTCTGGCAGGGATTCCAGAAAGGAATGCCAGGTGAAATGAGAGAACCTCAAAGGTGTCTTCTAACATTTTATGATTCCAACATTTTATGTGACCCAACTCTCAGGAAACTTTCTCACCTTATCAATTAGATAAAATTGTATCTTCTCATCTGCTTAGCGTATCATTGTGATTTCAAAAAGAAAACGATTTTCTTCTACTCCTAAAATTTAGTAACTTTAGTAATCTAGGTGCCTAATTATATAAAATGCAACCTGGATGGCTCTAACATGAGGAGAAGCTGCCAAAGTAAAAGTGAAATTTATTGTCTGGAGTCTAATTTGCTCCTGAATGAGCCATATTTGTTTTCTTAATTATTAGCTACCTACTGTATCAGGCAGCCATCAGGTCTCTTGGATGTGACTACATCATTAACAGAAATGGCAACTTTTCTCATACAGGGTTTCATTTCGGCAAATATGTTAACAATCTGGTGTCACATCACCAGCTGACTTTAGAGGACTTATTCTAGCACTGATTCACTCACGGTCCAACAATGTCACTTCAAGTAAATTAAAAAACAGTTGTTAGTTAAAAGAAGCCAAGATACAATCTATGTGGCTGGGTTTAAAAAATTATCTCAGATTAAGACAGCTGGTCTAAACTGGGAGCTGAATTATATAAAAAAAATGAATCCTCACTATGCTCGAGACAGTTTCAGTTGGATATTCAGTCTCCAAATATTAAATAAGTATGAGTGTATATTGTTGTTGTTGGCTAGTTTGAGTTTATTCCGACTCTTGGGGACCCCATGTGTGCACAGTCGAACTGCGCCATAGGGTTTCTAAGGATGTGACCTTTTGGAAGTAGACTGCCAGACCTGTCTTCTGAGGGGCTTCTGGGTGGGTTTGAACCACTAACCTTTTAGCTAGTAGTTGAGTGCTTAACCCTTTGTGTCATTCAGGGACACCTGAATGTGTATTAGTGCCTAGTTATTTGTTCTGCTGTAAAAAAGAATTCACAGATCTATGCCAGAAGTGCCAAACTATTAAAGTACCTGAGGTAGGCATAAATCTTAATAAGCTTTCTGGTCTAGCTTGGCTATTAAGCTATTCCTAGAAAAGATAGAGAATTTAAAAGTGTTATTCATCTGAAACAGAGATTATTTCTGTCCTTCACTGTAGGTCAAAGACATACACTGACTTGGTCATTCTGGACAAATGTACTTCCAAGTCTGACGTAGAAAGATCCGCCAAGCCGTAGCCCCTATGATTTAAGCCCTGAAATGTACATTCAATCCACATAACACACACGATGGGAGCTGAAATCTTAGCGGAGGCTTTAATTCCAATGTTGATAAAGAAATTACTAACATTTCTTAATTGAGTTGATTTCCACAAAATCAAACAGCATATGTGAGCTTCAAAAATACTTAGCAGTTCCTCAGTTGAGTTCTATGTTAAGTTGAATTCAACTCTGGAGGTAAAACTTGGAAAAATTAATAAAGGGTTATTTAGAACAACAGCTTCTGTTCCCTTTTTCAGTTTTCTTTCTAGTAGTGGGATAGAAGCCAGTTACTCAAATGCAAATATAAAGTTTGGCTTTGGTATTTCATGCTATGGGCTTTGATTTCAGTTTACCCCTTCTAGGGATTTCCTTTAGGTAGGAAGAAGAGTGAGGATGCATAATTTTTGATGTTCTTGGTCAGTAAGTGATCCATTATAACTGTTCTTTAAGGCTAAAAGGTGGCAAAGCTCTGGCCAACTAAAACAAAGCCCATTGCCACAGGATATATGAGATGAGGTTGCAGAAGTGCCATAAGAGGGTTTTAGTTGGTTTAAAACCAAGCTTCTTCCTCCTCCTGCTTTTGGCTCACTCAGCAACAAAGGGCTGCATAATGTGAGGGTCGCCTCACTTTTGTTTACAGTCATTAACAACGATAGTTTTTGGTGGCCTACTAATTCATGTGCTAAATTTCTCCAGTCATTTGAATGTACCAGGAAAGTTGCTACCATGTTTCTAAACCCTCAGTGAACATGTTGTAGAACTTGGGTGTAATGATCATCACTTAAAAACTGCTAATTATTTTTGCCTTTAGGACAAATGATATCCATATGTGACCAAGAATACAGGCAGACACAAAGGCAACCAAGCTCTTATGCATCTAGTGCATGTATAGCATGAGTATACAAAACATAAGGAAAAGAATTAAGAAGCTCATTATGATTCTTATTATTTCTAGGAGACATTTCCTTGGGTGCTCCTGAGATGATAATATCACCTGGTGCACCAGGATCTTGGCTTCTCCTTGCTCCTCTCAGATCTATACCTTGGGGTGGAAAACCATTCTTCCCTTCCTTCCCAAAGCACCTAACTTGACGGTGCCCACTAATATCACACCCCTGCAAATCTATGCAAGGAATTGTGCCTGATCCATTGCAAGGGAATGCTAAGCAGACCACATCTGCATGGGCTGGAGGAGGGAGGCCACAGGACTAGGCTGTGGCTTTGGTGGCCACATCCCATCTTCTGGCTCACCAAAGATAACTGGGCATAGGGCAGACCCAAACTGTGTCAAGTCTGCATTCCTTGGCCCTGAAACTCTTGGGCAACATTATACCTTTTCTTCATTGCTGATGTTTCGGGTGGAAGTTCTCCAGGTGATAGAGGGAATAGGGTCTCCCGAGGCTTCACAAGTAAGAGTAACCTGTTCCTCCAGTTCCATGGCAGTCTGGTTCTCTACGTAAGTGATTTTGGGTTTTGCTGAAAAGATAAAACACTTCTATGAGTTTATCTGATGTTTTGCCTTTCTGAGTTTAAATCACAACATGCATCCAACTCAACAAAGGTTATCTAATAATTAAATCAAGCCAGTTACTGCAGAGTTATCTCCAACTCATGGAGACCTCAGGTGTGTCAGAGTAGAACTGTGCTCCATAAGCTTTTCAATGGTTGATTTTTCAGAAGTAGACTACTAGGCCTTTCTTCCAAGTAGCCTCTGGGTAGAACTGAACTTCAAACTCAAATGCCTCCAATGGCAGAGCACATTAACCTTTTCTGCCACCAAGGGACTCCATTTACTAAGTACAAGACCCTGTTGTAGGTGTTGACAGAGAATAGAGTTGAACCATCAAGGAGTTCATAGTGAAGAAGGAAATACAGAAATTATTACAGTAAAAACAATATCCTACATTGCACAGGTGCTAAGGACAATGGGTACAGGAGGCATTCAGCAGAGAAAGAGTGCTTTCCTGGCTGGAGTCTTCAGGAGGAGACAGCTTTTGGGTTCAGTGATGAGGTTTTCAGGAGGTGGAACTTTGAGGGTAGAGATAGGGATATCTCAAGTACAGAGAACTGCTCGAAATGAAAGCAAAGAAGCAAGAACATAGAAAGGCAGGGTTGTGAGGAGAGCAGTGTGGCATGAGTCGAGTGTTAATGCATCAAAGCAGAGCGAGAAGATACTGGACCCTGGCATGGGAGTCTTGACTGCCTGGTTCAAGTTCTGGCTTGAATCTTATCCAGTGGCTGGTGGATCAGGGGAATGAAATGATCATTTGTATTTCAAGAAGGTTAATTTAGGAAAAAATTGAAGATGATTTAGAATGGCAAAAGCCTTGAGATAGGAAAACCAATTAAGAAGCTCTGGCAATGACCAGATGTGATGTGATATGATCCTGAACTTAGGTCATTTCAGGGGAGACCAGAAAAGGGCAGCCAGGAGAGAGATGCTGAAAGAAAATTTTATAGAAAGTGGCAAAGGAACAGAGGGCAGGTCAGGATGGGAAGAATCAAAAGAAGGAAGGCAAAGGAGTGCAAACGACTTTGAGATTCTTAATGACTAGGAGAATGGAGTTAGTATTAACTCTCAAGTAAGGAAATCAGGTTGGGGCTGTGGGGTGGGGCTGGAGATGGGAAGGAGATGAGATGAGTTCATTTTCCAAATGTTTTGGGTAATGCAAGGAAACACATGCATTCAAAAGCTGAGTTAAATGTTAAAACATTAGAGAAAATTGAATTTTCCCAATTTAAAACAATTATACTCTGAAATTGCTGAACCTTCCATAGTAGAAAAAAGATAGCACTGCACAAATGTAACTCATTTGACTGATAGAGAAAAAGGCCAGGCTAGATAAACAAACATACAAATAGAAAAATCAGAATTACAGTTTTTGAGAAAAACCACATTTCTTTAATATTCAAATTCAGATAGTCACCCCAAGTAGGTTAATAAGATATTATTGCCTTTATACATCTTCCAAGTTGAGGGCCTTGATTTTTCAGTAGATGGAAAATAATGACAAAGCTGTAAAATTTTTTTGGGTAGAAAATGTCTCTCCCTCTAATCTCATTTATATAATTCAAATATTCTCTTAAAGTTAATTCATCCTAAAAATTAGTAACTAATTGCTGTCAAGTTGATTCTCATTTATGGTGATCCCATATGTGTCAGAGTAGAATTGTGTTCCACAGAGTTTTCAATGACTAATTTTTTGGAAGACAATCAGACTATTCTTCTGAGGTACCTCTAAGTTGACTTGAACTGCCAACCTTTCTGGTTAGCAAATAAGCATGTGAACTGTGTGTACCACCCAGGGACTCCAAATAGGACCTATTAACCCACTTGTAGTTGTTGCTAGGTGTCGCTGAGTTGGTTCTGACTCATAGTGACCCTATGTACAACTATCCATCAAAAATGGATTTGCTAAGCAGGCTATGCCAGGAAATTTGGAAGACAGCTACTTGGCCAACCAACTGAAGAGATCCATATTTCTTCCCATTCCAAAGAAAAGTGATCCAACAGAATGCAGAAATTGAGAAATCATTAGTACCATGCATAAGTAAAATTTTACTGAAAATAATTCAAAAATGGTTATAGCAGTACACCAAGGGCAAAATTCCAGAAATTTAGCCAGATTCAGAAGAGGTCATTGAACACGAGATATCATTGCAGATGCCAGATGGATTATGGCTGAAAGAAGAGAATATCAGAAAGATGTTTACCTGTGTTTTATTTACTATGCAAAGACATTTGACTGTGTGGATCATAACAAATTATAGATAACTAGATAACATTGCTAAGAATGGGACATCCTAGAACACTTAATTGTACTCATGCCAAACCTGTACATAGACCAAGAGGCAGTTATTTGAACAGAACAAGGGATACTGCATGGTTTACAATCAGGTAACGAGTCTATTAGGTTTATATCCTTTCGCCATACTTATTCAATCTGTAAACCCACCAGCCACTCCTCGGAAGGAATATGGGGCAATCTACTTCTGTAGTGATAACTGCCTCGGAAACCGAAGGAGGGGTCGCTATGAGTCGGGTCCGACTCGATGGCACATAACAACAACAACAACAACAACATGCTAAGCAAATAATCTGAGAAGCTGGACTATATGAAGAAGTGGCATCAAGATGGGAGGAAGACTCATTAATTAACAACCTGTGGTATGGAGATGATACAACCTTGCTTCTTCAACTGAAGAGACTTGAAGCACTTACTGATGAAGATCAAAGACTTCAGTATTGATTGCACCACAACATAAAACAAAAGTACTTTCAACTGGATCAGTGAGCAAATCATGATAAACAGAGGAAGGATTGAAGCCGTCATGGATTTTATTTTACTTGGATCCACAATCAATGCCTATGGAAGTAGCAGTCAAGATATCATATGATATACTGCACTGGCCAAACCTGGTGCAAAAGATCTTTTTAAAGTGTGAATAAAAAAAGATGTCACTTTGAGGACTAAGGTGCACCTGATCTAAGCTATGGTGTTTTTCAATCACCTCACATGCATGTGAAAGCTGGACAGTGAATAATGAAGACTGAAGACAAACTGGTAACATTTGAGTTATGGTGTAGGCACAGAATAGTGAATATACCATGGACTGCTAGAGGAACAAACAAATCTGTCTTGGAGGAAGTATAGTCAAATGTTCTTTAGATGTAAGTGAGGATGGTGGGACTTCATTTCATTTACTGTGGACATGTTATCAGAAGGACCACCTCTGGAGAAGGACATCATGCTTGGTAAAGTAGAGGTTCAGCAAAAAAGAGGAAGACCCTCAATGAGAAGTACTGACACAGAGGCTGTAACAATAAGTTCAAACATAGGAACACTGCAACAACAGGTGGGCATTATGTCAAAGTAACATGCCCAAATGATCAGGAATTCAAATCAATTGGGTTTACGTGAGTGAAGTTTTCCTATAGGAAGACTTCGTAGTTATCTCGATAAATATGACTTTGAAGGAGATTGCAGCTCTTATTGATGGACTAAGTGTTAAGTGCTACTGAACAGGAGGTTCTAGAGAAGTAAAATAAAAATTGTACTTCTGTATGTTAGAATCACAGATTGAAAGGTAAAAAAAAAGTTCAATTAGAAAATTGAATTCAGTCAATTGAACAGTAGTAGCCTTGGGGTAGACAGTCACAGGAAGGTCCTTGGAACCTAGGAGCTAGACAGTATTTTTGGACCTGTCCTGACCTACAACCCTTCATCCTGGCATTGAAGCATTAAGAGAAGACACACAAGGGTTGTTGCTGTTGTTGTTTGCCGTCAAGTCGACCCCGACTCATAGCGACCCCTCCTTGGGTTTCCGAGGCAGTATCACTATGGAAGTAGGATTGCCCAACCTTCCTTCCGAGGAGTGGCTGGTGGGTTTGAACCACCAGCCTTCTGATGAGCAGTCAAGTGCCTTAGGCACTATGCTACCAGAGCTGCCACACAAGGGTTAGTTAACATCTATTAATATTTGGTCTTGGCAGCTCTCCTTCCCAGATGGTCACAAAGGGTGCACTGTAGAAATCTTCAGAAAAAGGTAAATTATTCTTATTAAAACACAGTGTTAACAATGGCTAATTTTGCATTACTTTTATTTTTACAGAGTTGTTAGAAGGCAGGCAGGTTATTTGCTGATTACTTAATCCTTCCTGCACTTCAGGAGCTGTGCTATTGTCAGCATGAACTCTTACTGCTTAGAATAAGACCAAAAACCAAACTCACTGCCATTGAGTTGAATCTGACTCATAGCGACCCCTCCTTGGGTTTTTGAGGTGATGTCACTACGGAAGTAGATTGCCCATTCTTCCTTCTGAGGAGTGGCTGGTGGGGGTTTGAACAGCCAACCTTATGGCTAGCAGTCAAATGTCTTAGGCATTATGCCACCAGAGCTCCTCTGCTTAGAATACTGCCTTATAAATAGGATATCCTGTAGTTTGTCTAAACTCGGACACTCTGGAGAGTAAAAGGGATACTCTAAATAATTACACTGGGATAACAGGCATTACTGGGCAAACTGGGACAGAGAGTCACCCTACATATAAAAAGACTCACTCCCTCCACATGCCAAGATCTAGAGGGATCTCTCCAGGTTTCAGCTTTTCACAACAACAAGCCTTTGGTGGTGTAGTGCCCAAGGCATTTGACTGCTAACCAGAAGGCTGGTGGTTCATAACTACCAGGCACTCCTTGGAAGGTAGACTGGGCAATCTACTTCCGTAGAGATGTTGTTGTTGTTGTTATGTGCCATCGAGTCGGACCCGATTCATAGCGACCCCTCCTTGGGTTTCCAAGGCAGTATCACTACAGAAGTAGATTGCCCCATCTTCCTTCCGAGGAGTGGCTGGTGGGTTGGAACCACCAGTCTTCTGGTTAGCAGCCAAGTGCCTTAGCCACTATGCTACCAGAGTTCAGCATCCTAGCAACACAAAAACCTCCATTGACAGGGATGGTGGCTGACCATGAGAT